TATAAATATGACATTAATACCTACCTAGTGCATAACAGGTTTATGATTATATGATAAGGTGGACTTTGATTTTAGTTTACTTGCCTTTTTTTATTGGCTTATTCATAAATACGAAACTTTTCTCAAGCAAGCCACCAGCTGGAAGGGTGCAAGCATACACATGAAGGCTGTTCAGTACAACACCTGTCGTACACAGGTGGCTCTGTTTCTAAATATAAGTTTCTCTGACATGTTGTGTTGTGTGTTACTACATACAAGCAAGTAGTTTCGTTGGATCTCTTGGGATTTATAGCTTTGGTTCCTAGTGGATTTTCCTTTGAAAATATTTAAATTGAGGTAGTTTCAAGGCAAGTTTGAAAAGTCTGTTGGTATGTACTTAAATCTTTGTTTTAACATATTATTTGTATTTGAAATTTGTGTTCCATTTTCACTTAACTGGGTTCTTGTATCTACACTACTTGTATATTCTAATAATATTTTAGTTACCAGAGCACTTTAGTTCTTGCAGTAAGGGATCCAAATCTTATAAAACAAAAACATCTACATTTCAAAGTTTCATTTAACTATATTTTGATTCCAGTGATTGAACTATACTTACGGGGTGAACATATCCTTTTTCCACAAAGCCAGTGCTTTTCTGAGACAGATAGTCCAGTGGCTCAGCAGTAAGTCTGCTATAAACTGGGTTTTGATACTCATATAGGTTGCAGCACAGATTGCCCATTTTGTAGCTTTGTGCTTAACAACAAACAAACAAAAACAAGTGTATAAGGATATGGCAGATATAGCGTGGTTGACATAGTATTACATATTCTTGTTTGCTTTCAGTTATAAGTTTTTAGAATTTCTCATGTAATTTTCTCCCAATGACACGAATACTAGCTTGCTGGTTCAACGGTGTTTCTGGATGATGAGTAAAGTTATTTCAAGTAAAAATAAGAATAATAAATAATCTGGTGTTAAAAATCAAATAAATAATATTGTTTTATTAACCTTACTTTAACTGTGGTTGGTAAATGACTTGAATAAAAATGATGATAAATACAATTCACACTGTAACAGTTGTTCATGTAATTCGTGTTATAAATAGCACCTAGACCACTACAATATCTGTTATAGCCCATCCAGCTTTATCAACACTGGATATAGTAGATGTAGAGTGATTGATATATATATTACATATTCTTCTTTGATTTCAGTCATAAGTTCTAAGAATCTGTAAGTACAAGTGAAAACGGACTGTTAAGGTTCTTTTGAACAACAGAAAAATGTCAAATAGAATCAGCTTTTCCCAGCATTTTGATATTATCACACATTTAGAAATACTACTTTACAAAATAGCTGTTGTCATCATAAACATAAATAATGAACAATAATGGTCCCAAATCAGGTTATTAAGTAACTTCATCAGTAACATTATCCTGTTCTAAGAAAAGCCCATTTGTCACTATTTTTATTTAGCTTTCTGCCACAACATCTCCCCCTGGTGTGTCAACAGTAAATTTATGAATTTAAATGCTAAAATGTTTAGTTTGCAGTGGACAAAACTCAGATAGCCTATTATGCAACTTTGTGCTAGAAAAAAAATGGCAGTATATCACTTTGCTATCCTCTAATACATTTATCACAATTCCTTAACACTTTTGAGAAAGAGGAGCACCTCTGAGTGTCAAGTGCATGCATACATATCAAATTTCAAATACCTACCTGTAGTTACATGGCCGAGTGAAACTGAAACCAAAACCTGTAGTTACATGACCGAGTGAATCTGAAACAGACAATAGGGCTGTGTTTTATGGTCTACTTCTGCTACCTGGTGAAACATTTAAACTGGAGCCGAAGATCGTCTTAATACCAGAAACATAAAATAAAATAATCTAATAAAGATGAAATAATGGAACCTCTTTAATAATTGGGTAAAGACAAACTGCGGCAAATATATATAGGATTGTTTGAAAGAAAAAATAAAAAATTGTACGCATATTTCAAAAATATTTTAGAATGATATTTTGTCATTTTTTAACATTTAATTAATTAATTCAATTTGAAAGAAAATGAGTTTAAAAAATATATTTCTGCACAGCTTCAAGGAGTCTCATCTATAAACAGTGTACACTTACAGATGGTTTTTATAATTTTTCCACCCATCCCAAAATATATGTTTATATTTGCTAAGAAACTATAATTCCTTTAGAATACATTTTACCAAGTCTTATTTCTCTGGTATTTTCATTTTCTTTTAAAATTTTATGAGTACAGGCTCTCAGTTCCCACCCTTTCATGACATCTCAGCAGGTGAATGAACAATCGCTAATGAAACTCAGCTTTCAAAATAGTTACAGAGCAGGGATTCTCAACTTTTCCTCCATCATTAACCCCCTCGGCTTGATGTATTTCTCCATTTACCCCCTTACTTCCATACAAAAACTTCATAACCATCATAAAGGGACAGAAAAACAAGAAGGTCAGAAAAAAAAAAATATTATTCAGGTTTTGCACAAAAATAGCACACACACATTCTTAGCATTCTCATTCTCTCTCTCTCTCACACACACACATTCTTAGCATTCTCTCTCTCTCTCTCACACACACACACACATTCTTAGCATTCTCTCTCTCTCTCTCACACACACACACACATTCTTAGCATTCTCTCTCTCTCACACACACATTTTACAAAATGAAATTTAATTAAATTATTATTCAATCATCAGGTACATCAATTATTTACCCCCTGCCATGTAATTTTTTTACCTCCAAGGGGTAAATTTACCCCTGGTTGAGAATCACTGCAATAGAGTTTTATTTACATCAATGTAGAATGAATAAATCGGTGTAAAAAAGTAATTTATGGTTTCTTGGAAAAGCCATAAGACCTAGTTCAAGCAGAGAAAAACAATTGAATTTAGTGGAAAATTTAGTAAACTTAGAGAGAAAAACACATGCCTGGGAATTTGTTTATAGTTTCTTCAGATATTGTTTTTGTTCCTGATAATGTTTTTATGTTAAAGCTTTTTTTGTTTAAAAGTTACAGCAGTTTCTTCTTTGATAAAGTATCAGGTAAGCCTTATTAGCTTTGAAGAGTATAGCAGCAATGACAAAATATTCCAGTGACTTATTTATTGAATATTATTGTCAAGTTTATCATATTAAAAAAATTTACATAAATAAAATAATTTATAATTTGTTAAAAGCAAAGTGTACTTATTTGATATAAATTGATTGTGACAAAGAATACTGTTAACAAGAATATTGTTACCTAGCCTAACCTGACACCATTTTGAAAAGTCAGTTCTTAGGTCTTTGATAAATCTTTGTCAGCTTATGTAATGTTTTTTACAATTTAGAGCCAGAAGTGGTGACTGCTGCAATCAGCAAAATTAAGTTTGAAAAGAAATACATTAATGGAAAATCAATGAAATTGAAATTTGTTGAATATAGAATGTAAATTTCTGATCAACTGTACAAACAAAGAAAAAAAAATTGAAGTTATAATAAAAAAGGAAAATATTTAATGCATTTTCCAAAATAGTGACTCGACAAAAATTAGGTAATGTCACGAAATCTAAATAAAATTATATGATTTTTTCTTAATATCAAAAGTAAGTTTGGCTTTAGTGTTATGCAATTTGGCCAAACATTTCTACCGTGAGAATGAAAAGATGAAAATATTAAATGATCTCATCCCCTCCCAGCTCTCCCATTCTGGAAATAGTTCAGAATTCACCTTGCTAATTAATCTCTATTGAAAAAAGATATTAGCTTCCCGAAAGATGCTAAATCACATACCAGGTAAGCCTCCTGTAGTAAGGAACTTGTTTATATATTGGTAACATGAGTAATCCACTTCTGTATATTTTAATGTGAATGATTTGATTTGAAGTTATGCCAATAACTATATTTTCTCATTTTCTTTAAGAAACCTCTACCCAAACCTTTGGCATATTTTTGCAGGTTCTTCTTTTGATGAACTGATGCTATGGAATCAAAGCCATGTTTCACTAATAAAGCTTGTAATGTAGCATTAATAAATATCTCAGTGGAGCAGACAGGTGGAAAACTTTAGTGTCCACCCATCGAGTGTGGGTGGGGATTTCATTTCTTATTTAAGTACCATAACAAGTACCCACCACACTATTTCACTAAGTTATAAGGTTTCAAGGACCTGTACTTGTCAGATCTGGCCATAATCAAAAACAAACTTGATAGTTGACAAATTGTCATTGGTCATTTTCATTTTATTTCCAGTGTTTTGTTGTTGTTCAGTTGCTTCTTGCTCTGTTTCACTCTATTTGACAGGTTGTCTTAGTACATTAATGTGTTATGTTCAAGTAGTATGTCTTGATTTATTATTATTATCATTTATAATAGTATGGCAGTCTAAGGTAGTGGTTCCAAATGTTTTTAGTCTGAGGTGAATAAAGAAGTTTAAGGCACCCCCAACCTATAACTGTAATAAAAACAGTAACATCTCCTTTCAACATACTGTATCATATAATTAATTCAACATAATTTTTATTGGCTTATTGTTTATTTAGAATTAATATTAATTCAGCATCTTTGTTTTCGGCCCTATTTTTTGCCCCCCCCCCTCCCACACACACAGCCCCACAGCTTCAAAGCCCCACTTTGGAACAATGACAATGATATCTACAACCTGTGTATCTATTTTTATCTATTCCTGGACTGGAAATTTCTCTAACTTTCAATTTTTTACAGATTTTACACCAGAATTGTTGTAAACTTTCAAAGTTTAAATATGTATTTTGCTATGTTAGAATGGATTTTTTAGTTATTGAACAATACTCATTTTAAAGGAAGTACATGTAGAATCAAAAGTGCCTTGTATCCTAACCAAAAGTAAATCCTAACAATTAAAAGCAAAAATTAACAGGAATATAGTATTTTGATTCTGTCAACTCGTCAAAACTTGAAAAATATTTAGTAGATAAAAACTTTCTCTGTGGCTGGAGTTTTTTAATTTTATTTTTATTTTTCAGGACACAAGCGTACCTGTTATGGAAGAAATTGGAGAATTAGCTAAAGATGCAACAAATTTTCTACAGAATATGCTAATGTAAGTGGTATAGTTTTTTTTTTCCCTTGATTTCTGGTTTTATTTACAGCAATTAATTAAACATAACAATACAAAGAGACCACTATGAATTTCGCACATCTGTATTTACTTTTCTGTATTAATATGTCCTTGTACCATACATGAAAAACTTGCACTTTCTCTACAGCTTCATTCTGTATGAGAACCAGTTTCCGTACAAAGTCCTCTTTGAATCCTATAACTTTTCACTTGATCTAAACCTGTTATAAATTTAACTTCTAATTAGACAAGTTGTCATTCAATATGAACATGTTACAAAGGCATCCTCTAGTTTTACAATGTGTCACTTGATCTAAACCTGTTGTATGTTTATCCTTTAATTAGATAATTTGACACAGTGCAAGGTATGGCATGCAAGTACAAGCTTCTTTACAATCATAAGTAGTAGAGAACATTATTTTCTGTATTTCTTTATTTACTGTCCTATATTTTAAGAAAAATAACTGAAATTTAAGAAATTGTTTGTAATCAGTAATAATAGATATACATATGTAATATATTAAAAGTGAAATGTGTCTGTATTTACACAGTTCTGGTCCATTAGAACAAAGCCAAGTCAGGTCACTTTGTAAAGGTCAATTTTATATTATTGTATACGGTAACATGAGTGCACATGCGTCTTATCATTGCAGCTTCTGTAAAGTTAGTCAGACAGATGAAAGATCAATAAAATATAATTCCAATATCATAACTCACCTCCTCCCACTTAAAGCTTTCTCGATTAATACTGCCCTCTATCGATACAAATGTTTCACTTGCCTCTACCCTTGTAATCCCCACTTCTTTCTGCATATCTACATGTAAACGATCATGCAACAACCCTCCACCAATAGGAGTGTGACACTACTACTATTGTAACTAGCACTTTTTCTAATAATGCACCTGTTAATCACTTTTCGATTGGCATTCTTATTGTTTGTTTCGTTTGCTATTTAGTTATTATATCCAATTTTTTTTCCTTTTGAGTGTTTTCTCATTTAGTCACTGCAGTTTTACTTTTTTTTTAGTGGAAAGTCGCAATTTAAATTTCTATATATACTCTCCCTTTCCTATTTTTTCATTTTCGACAATGTGAGTTATGCACTTATGGTTCTGGGTAGTCATGACTACCACTGCTGATGCTGCTATGACAGATTTGCTGTTCATGTTTGCTTTGGCAATAGCAAAGTTGTTAGCTGTGGGCATGATGGCTATGTTCTGTTGGGAATTGTACAATTTTTGGCAACATTTTGTATAACCTGTTGAGTAGCCTGTCATACCAGCACCTAGGTGTGTCTGGATGGGTGGATGTGATCTAAGGCAGTTTGTTTTTACCCTCCTGAATATGTTTTTCCATCATGTGTTGTTGTGTGTGTGTGTGTGGGGGGGGGGGGTACCTATGATTCCTTCACCCTTTGTTGCCATTATTTTCTCAGGTATGTTGTTTTTTGTCTTTGTCTCCTGTTTCATTGCATTTTATCCTTGCCCTATTTGGGGATTAATTGTTGGGTCTTCTTTGGCTTTTACATCTCACCCAGATAATGGGTTGTTTTGAAGTACACTTGCATTCGGGAGTCGGAATGCTTTATCCCCTGTATATGTTGGTGTATCATGTTTTTTGCTTTTCTTGTTCCATCTTCCCATAATTTGCCTCACACCTTTTGGATTTCTTGTCTTCCAATGTGGGGTTTGGACCCTATTGCTTTGGTTGCATTTCACTACCTTGGAACTTTCCTATTCACTTATTTTGTTATTCCACTATCATCTATGCTTTATCCTCCCTTTGGTTGGGGTGGTTCTAAAGTTTCATTATTTGTGTTTTTGTTGGTTATGGTCGTCTCTTTTTTTGCTACAATGACACACATTTCCACTTCAGCGTTGCTTTTCAGATGTGGCTGCTATGAAGTTGGGTTCTCCTAGGTCGGGATCCTGTTTTATTTCGGGTTCTTTTACCCTCTTATAAATTACATGCATTATGCATGGCACTTTTTTTTTCTGTCACAAGGTGGTGGACTTTATTCCTGCCTATTGGGAGACTGGGGTTGTTTCAGCAAGTCTCCATAACTCCATTTCCACTTGTCCCTCCTGTTATTTCACCATCCACTTTATTTCACCCTCAGTGGGATTCTGTTTCTTCCCAGTGTCAGTAAAGAGGTGGCTTGGGTCTTCCTTCTCCAGGGTTCCTTCTGTGAGATCATTCTCATTATGGGTTTTTCACTCATGTTTTGTGGATGATGTAGGTTGATGTGTCACATACATGTCTTAATTTTTCTGTTTCCCTGGCATCCAGACATTTTTCTTTGTTTTGTTCTTCACAGGTGTGTATTTTCAGTTTAGGGTGTTTTTGTTTGGCCTTGCCTCGGCTTCCTCTGTGTTCATCCGAGTGGTCTAGACCTTTGCTTGCCTGCTTCCTTCTCTGACCTTAGTGTACACTTTCCCAGGAACAGCTGGATAGTTAATTTCTCTCTCGCTGTATCTGCTCTCCATATTCAATTTCTTCTTTAGGAAGCTGCCTGTGTGGGTTTCATTCATCAAACCTGATAAATTTCTAGTTTTCTTGGTGTGTTTTTAATCTCTGTTCTCAATTCTTGGTTGGAACTTACCCCCCCCCCCTCTCTCTCTCCTATTTCTTCTTATTTTTTACTGTCCCTTCTTCATTCAGCCCTATCTTCAAAATATTATATTTTTCTATCTTCCCCTGTAAAATTTTTTTGTTTAAATTTCACTCTGCTACCAGTATGCCTCATCTTTTTAGACTGGTTTCACATATGCTTTGATTTACAATTGAGCTGAAGCTTCCTTGGAACTCCTTATCTCCTTAGTTTGTGCTCATATGCATCTTTTACTGTGGATTCTACATGAGCAATGAAACCTCTCTTGGAATCCCTTTTATTGGGTGGTTCCTCAATCCTTGTGATTTTCAATAGCTTTGCTCTTATCTGGGCACTCCTCACAATAATGGCTTTGCCACTTACAGCAATGCTGAGCTTTCTTTGTTTGGATCTCCTGTTCCACATATGTTAGCACTGTTGGTGGGTGCATTCAGTCAGGAATGGTCTGATCTCTTACTTTGTACTTACCCCCCCCCCCCCCCCCTTGAGTTTTCTCTCTTATTTGGGATGCTACTTTTTGGGTTTTTCTGGTGGCACCCTATTGGCTGGCTCAATCATTTCCTCTGCTGAGCCTCAATTTCTTCTTCAGCAGTTGCTCAGTTAACCATGTTTCTCTAGGATTTGCTTGCTTGGGATGCCTTATTTTCTGGAATTAGACTATCAGACTTATCTCAAGAATCTCCATTTGGTGTACTTCCTACAAAAACGTTTTTTGAAGAGTTTCTCATCCTTTGGAAATTAGGGCTGAGGTAGCTCATCAGCAGTTGTCTTTGTTTACTCTTTTCTACTTATCTACATTCAGGAAGACCCAATGGATGTTGGGTTCTTTCTGGGATCTCAGCTGGTTGTACAACAGGGACAACACAACAGTAAGTGTTCCTCTACCACCTCCATAACCAGAGATACATCTGTTCACAGATACTTATCTTCAGGGCTGTGGTGCTTGTATAGACAATATGGAATTCAAGGGACTTTGGACAGTTGAAAAAGCTTCTCTCCACATCAGTCTTTTAGAACTTTTAGCTGTTCAACGAGTTTTGGCTCAGGGTCTTGAATTGTTGCAAAGGAAGGTGGTAATACTTCATTTGGACAATTCCACAATAGTCTTGTACATTTCCAAGCAAGGAGGCACTCACTCCAGATCTCTCCGTTTTTGAAAAGTGAATCTTCTCCTTGCTTGTCATGTTACAGGGGTAATGAATCTAGTGGTGGACCAATTATCTTGTCATTGGATCTGTTATTGTCTAGAGACACCACAGATTGATGCTTTTGCCACACACTGGAATATACAGCTCCTGTCCTTCTGGTCTCCAGTATTTCACCCTCTGGATTTGAAAATAGCTTCTCTCATCCAGGATTGGATGGGTCTTCATATTTATGTGTTCCCTCCAATTCATCTGCTCTTCAAGATTTTGTCACTAATTCACACCAAAGTCGGACATTTTTCATCCAGCAGTCTGTGTTCCTCGACTTCATGCCTGGCTTTTGCAGTCCATTGCACGACATCAGAGATAGATATCCTTATTAACATGTTTCATTTGGCATTCTTCTTTGGAAGTTTATCAAAGGAAATGTTTTACTTATCATCAATGGTCTCTCAGACATGAGTTTAACCCTTTGCATCCCGCTGTGCCACATCTCTCTCTCTCTTTTTGACAAAGGTTTGGTACCTTCATCTGTTGCCATGTATAAAGCTGCCTTATCAGCTGCTTTTCATTTTTCTAAGAGAAGAAAAGTTTTCAAGTCCCTGGTTTTGTCATTACTTTTGAATTTCATCTCGGGTTATCCGTCTTTGTCGCCCTTTTCCAGGTTTATAATTGGGATATCACTGTCGTTCTTCATGCATTATCACATCATCCTTTTGAACCTTTGTAGTCACGCTCACTATATCATCTTTCACCTAAAACTTATTTTCTTCTGTTATTGGCAAGTGAGTGTTAATGTTCAGATGTGTTTGTGCTTCATTTTTACAGGACACTGTACCATTCCAACTGTGTTCTGTTGTATCCAGGAAGATCCTTTCTACCTAAAACTGCAGCAGCTAGGGAAGGAGATAAGACTTTCTCTCCTATTCATCTTCCCTCCATTTTCCAATTCTATGACCATTCAGATCCAGATCATCTTTTATGCCCTGTTTGGGCTCTCTGATGTTATGGGTTATTCACTGAAGTGTTTCGTTGTTCACATCACCGATTATTTAATCATTGGGATCCTTCAGTATCACACAACTTATTCCTTGTCACTTTGACAAGTTGGATTAGTCAGTTGGTTTGGATAGCTTACTCTGGCCTTTTATTCAAGTTCGACATGTATCAATGTCTTTGCCAGCTCAGTTGTGCCACCTGTACCACACATAACACCTCTATATTATACTATTTGCATGATTTAGCAGTCTCCTTCTTGGATGGGTTTTGGCAACCCACTGTGTCTGTTCTACACATGTACCCCCAGCTTGATTGTGACAGAGGTGAGTAAGTTCATTTTCTTTGGGCTTTTAAGGGATCTTCTTATCATTCTCATTTGGATCCCACTCAGTGGCGAGTGTTGTCTGCTCAGGTATGTTTTTACAAATCTGCACTAGCTACCAGTAAACTAATTAAATTTTGGTATTAACAAGCTCTGTAGAGATGGGGTGTTCCATAAGACTTCCTTGGTGCTTTCCAGATGGTGAACAATTGTTCTATATGAAATATAATATACAGTACTGGACTGCCACTCATGGACTATCATGAGTAAAGCATAAAGTGACATTGCCCATCGCTGCTAACCACTGGATTGAACAAATTGGGGTTAGATTGCTTTTCAAAATAGGAAAAGTAGTTCACCTATTGCACTGTCCTCAGAGCATCATTTCTCAGGACTCCCCAACACAAGTTCCCCTCCCTCTCTTCTAGTGGAGAGTACTTACCCCTCTCAGTTTGCAGTTGCTGGAGTTATGGAGAGAGGTCTATTCCTCCTGAGTGATGTTTGTACTCTTTATTCCACTCATAATTCCAGTTCAGAGATGACACTTCACTATCCAGTTGTCTAAGCATGGCCATTTATTTTGGTTATTCTGTTACTTTCCATGATCATGGAAGAGGGTCCTTGACTCCTTGTAATACTGCACACAGGGCATCATGCCCTTGAGCCATTAGTTGAACTTTGTTCCACATCTTCCTTATAATTATGGAGGCAGAAGGTGTTGCCTTGCCTTCCAGGTTGAGGAGTTAAGATTTCAGTTTGTAATCCCAGACTGGATTATCTCTGTTTCTTCAGGTTGTGTGAGGTGTGAATTGGCTGTATAATTCCGAGTTCGGTTTATTGCATTCTGTACTTCTTCAGGTTGGGCGGAAGACTTGTTCACTTAGGTGTTGCTTTCCTTCTCTGCATAATTTGGGTGGTTCACATGCTACATTCTGTAACTTTCAGGTTGGGTTCCCTTCATATCATATTTCTATTGTACAATTATATCATATTACGGTCCTATGCCCTAGCCACTACACCTTGGATCTAGCTTTGCATCCACAGCCCTATAGTTCAAATGATGAGACATGGAACCTCATCTATGTAATTGGGGTCTTGACTAATCTTATGATAATGAAAAGTGTTGACTCTGTAGCTGGTTTGCATTTGCCACCCGCATTTAGATTTCACTTTATCTGGGTGAAGAGCATACATGTTCCAGACGTAGTGTGGACCCCCACTAGTGTGCTTTATTATATTTCAATTTTGGACACCCCTTTTTCTATGCAGATGCTTTCTTGTGGATCTTGTTCTCCACCTGGTCAGTGTGGGGTTCTAGCTAAAGTGGAAGAAGAGGTGAGTGTGTTTCGGAAGTTACATTTTCCTATACCGAAAATGGATTTCTAATAGTACTTACCTCTTTTCACACTATCTCACCCTTTCTCCCCATGATAGCTGGTGTTCAGGTCTGATAATCTGACCAGTCTTGAAAAAGTGAATAAGAAAGAATAATGGGGAGCTTACTTATGGATCAAGTATAGAAGGTGCATTGATGTAAGTGGAGAGAGTCAGAAGATTAAAATTGCTAGGGGTGATATAGTGGGTTATAAAGAGTGGAGTAAACAAGGTAGAATTCATACCAATGCTTAGATGGGCAAAGAATATAACCCTTCATAAGGATAAAGCTAACGTGGGAGCGGAGGTAAGTATGTTTTGGAATTAGTATCTTCCATACCTCACCTCTCCACAGAAAAACTAGCTAGTGCCAAAATGTTTTTGTATATACACCAGCCATTGAAAGAGCTCTCAACCCTACATGTAATAACATGTTCTGTGTTAATATATGATGCAATTAGCATTAGACTTAAGCCCTCCAATAATATAGGGGGCAAAACACCACCACATTTTACAGAACTCCCCTTGAGCATTGTATAGAAACCAAAAGTTCATTTTTGAAAAGGCATACAGACACACCAGAAGTGGGGAGGTAGGATGGATGGTTCTGTGAAGAAGTATTTATATGAAGTTAAGAATTTCTTTACCTGAAAACAGATTTCAGATAGATACCTCTCTTCACCACTATGAACTATTACCTCAGGCCCATAACAGCCGTGGAACTTCCTCCCAGGCCACAATCTTTGAACAAACTCCCATCCCTACACATCTATGTGTATTGCAGCAGCTTATGATGTAATTATCATAATGCTGTAGCCCTCCATCAATAAGAGGGCAACACAAGCTCCAGGAGCAGTAATCATCATGAGTACTAGCACATGATCATGGGCTCATTCTTGATGAGGCAAAAATCAACCATTTAAATTATATAGATATATTGCTGAAGCAGTCTTGCAGAAAACCCCACTTTAATGGTGGGCACTGAGAAGGGGCAGATGGTTTTAATTCTTTCTATTCCTTCCAGCTTGATGTGAATTTCAGGTAAGTATTTCCCCTATGAGACAATATCAGCTGCTTAGAAGGTTCTGATAGTAAGAAGCCTAAAGAAATAGGAAAATGTAAACCTTTCAGTTATTATGCTTCTTGAACATAGATTGTTTTATATGCATATTTGTATTTTTAAACTCTACAGACCCCATTCTGGATTGGAAGAACAGTCAAAAAAAGATGCTTCAAAAAGTGTACCTGGCCCATTACAAACAAGGTAAGATGTTCATACAAATGCATAAGACATATATTAAGAACTAGCTATATCTAGCAGTAAAATAGCAAATTTATGTGTTTGATGTGGGTCTGAAGTTAGCAGTATTTCGTTGTTATGAGATACATGTCATTATATTTACATGTGTTATTGATAGCGAGCTTGGTTCTGTTTAGGGCACACTAACGTGTGTGTGTATACATAAGGCATGTGATTGTATGTAAAGAAATGTTTTTGTTTCAAGTATGAAATGAACATTATCACTGGGAACTGTGGTAAATCCTAGAACATGGTATGTTTAGAATTATTAAAACAAATTGCATCAAATAGAATTTTTTGTATAGAATAAAGCATGCCTCAAAGTGATTAATTTACATTGATGTAATTTCTGAGTTAAAAATTCCCAATCCACAATTTTAAGTACATAAATTACAATCATGTATAAATGTAGCACTGTTACAATCTTCATGTAACTCCTAAATTTAAGAGACAGTCTTAAACCACAATTTTCAATATAAGTTTGTATTTATATAGGCATATTATAATCTGATTCATTCATCTTGATGTAACCTTGTGTTTATATAGGCATGTTATGATCTGATTCATTCATCTAGATATTATTTCTAAATTGAAATTTCTAAAACTACAATTTTGAAGCATGAAGTAGAAACTTTTATAGATTTAGGCATGTTGCAGTAATCTTTATCAACTTTCTAAACTTAGAATTTCTAAATTATAATTTTAAATGTATAAGGTGCAAATGTATAAAAGGTGTAGGTATGTCCCAATAGGATTCATTCATTGTCAAATTCCAAATACAATTTTAATAAAATATAAGCTTAGTACAGATTTAGACATGATTAATTCATCTTGATTTAATTTCTGAATTTAGAGTTTCTAAACCACAATTTTAAATGCATAAAGTGCAAATTTAGAACAGATTTATTTGTATCTCAGTGTGATTCATTTGTTAACAATTTTAAGGCATAAAGTATAACCTTAGAACAGATTTAAGCATATTCAGTGTAATTCACTGATCTTGATATAATTTTAGGTAGGAAGTAGATTGCATGGGGTAAATAAGGATCTTATGTAGTAAACTTTGTAGCAAGTGAAATAGAATGAAGTGATGCCCCCTGTGATCAATTTTTCATAATCCAGTCATTATAATTCACCAAGTTATTTTTACTAATGCATTTTAAAAGTTGTGTAGCACTAGTAACCAACAGTTCTTATTTGAAATTCATATATGTACACATATATTTTGTTTCAGTGGTCTTCCATTTAATGACATTGAACATCTCTTAGAAGGACTTGTACTCTGCAGTGATGAAGAGAAAACGAATGAGAAATCTAGAAGGTACAATGATAATATTATTGTTTGTTGGAGTTGTTTATTTGTATCCATTTGTCTATACCATTAGAAAATTTTATATATTATAGCTTCCATCAGTCATCACATAACATCTGTTTTATTTGTTGTGGAGATTTGTATAAATTCACATCTCTGAAAATTCAAGATTTCATTGTGACATGTTTTTTTTTTTTTAAGAAACAATTAAAAATGGCTACTTTTGTTGTAGATTTTAATTACTGATTTTTAAATCTTCCAACATTCTTCATATATTTTACCCTAAAAATTTTATTTTATATAGCTGGAAATTTTACCTTTGTTTGATTTGAAAAACATCACATGTGGTTTCACAGCGCTGTGTTCAATCACTAGCATACAACTAAATTCATTTTTTAACTCTACCAAAGTTATAAGTAAGTTTTTTTTTAAATTGTTGATTAGAATGTTTTATTTAATTCCTGGAATTAGACTTTAAAACACCTTACTACCTCTTGGTTTGTTTTTGTTTAATTTGAACTCATGCTTTCAACATGTGACTCAGAATTTTCAAATGCCCTCTTCATACACTGCATTCATTATTTACCCATAATTATCCATCTTCCACATGATTTATTATGCAACTATCAGGGGTTCTTACATAAAATCTTCTTTTCCACCATTACTTAGGTTTTATTGAAAGTTTCACTCTAAATGAAAATTTGTTTGTGAAAAGAATGGAGGGAAGGTATTTCAGAGGTAAAAACCTGTTTGAAGTTAATTCTAATTCTGAAAATGTAAAATTAAAATCAAGTAGCCTTACCTCGTGAATACTAAAAGCCAGCATACTCGCATTGTAATGGAGGTGAGGACTGATGAATATTAAAACTAAAAGCTACAGTGCAAGAATGTAATAATAGACTACAAAAATTGTGTAGCCAAGCAGAGATGCGGTAGAATTCAGAAACAAAACAACTTGGAGAACTGGACTGGGGAGTGGAGTGGACCGGTCTCAGCAGGGTACCTCCTCACTCAGGACACCCTTTCATCCAGACAAAGGGGTTTTTTGTGAGTGAAAATGGAATATTGGATCTCTGGAGCCAACAATAGGACACAAGCATAAATATTTAGGAGGAATACCACGTCCTGGTCCTTCAGTGATTAGTTATTGGGGAGCAGCCCAGAGATGTGTTTTTTGTTATATAATGTAATCATTTCATAATTCTAAATACCCCTGGAGTCATGAACAGATATGATATAGAAAAATACTTGGATTACCTAGGACAGATGCAGAAGATGAACATATGAATGTCCTGACTGGACAAGTCACTATAAATACAGATTCTTGATATATAACAATAGACTGTGCTTAATTATTTAATTTTTCTTGTTTTGTGGTTGACTGGGCAAGTCAATATAAATACAGGTTCTTGATATATATCAATAGACTGTGCTTAATATTTTTCTTGCTTTGTATTTGACTGGGCAAGTTGATATAAATACAGATTCTTGATACATAAGAATAAACTATACCTGATTATTTTGTTTTTCTTGTTTTGTACTTTTTGTTTGGAAGTAAAATTATTCACATTCCCCAAAACCTTGGCAATTGTCAACAGTAAGTAATGGGCAGAATGTCGAAAAACTTACAAGATACAGATTCCATCGAGCTTAGAGAATAACTACAGGCGGCAAACAAGATTCTGAAACTAAAGATACAGTGATGTGATGAAGGTAAAATAGCAAAAAAGAATGCAGCTTCATTGTCATGCTGGCCTAAGATGTCTGCTAAAGGGTACAGAGACCAGGAGGTCAAAGTCATAGGCAAATGGCAAATATGATGAGGTGTAACCTGAAATCCACATTTATGGTAGTTGGGAACATCAAGACATTGGTTTGTGAATGTGAGTGGAGTAAGATCTAGGAAGTGAGAATCATCATAAGGTATAAATGGCTGATGTTAATTTCGTTGAAAATATTCTTCAGAATGAAAATTGGGATCATTCAGAATAGCTAAAACAATTGGAAAAAACAAACAAACATTGGTGACCATCTCTTGCAGCCCAAATCTCTGGTAGGAAGACTCTATCAGGATATAAGTACAGAGCCTTCCTGGTAAAAGAAAAAAAGTACAAGTAACATCAATGGCAAAAGTGTCTGATCACATCCTAACAAAAGCAACTAACAAAATAAGTCTTCAGGGAATGATGGTAGAGTGAACAAATTGTGAAGGTTTCAAAATGAGAAGCCAGGCACACTTAAAATCAACTGATGACGATGTCTAAGAATCTGAAAAAAATGTATTCAGCAAAAGTGTGTGACTAGCAGCTCTTTAACATATAGGAGAAGCATACAAACCCTGTTCATACATAAACAAATCAGGCAAGATGTTGAGGAGTTGGAGAAGCCAAACAACTCCTAAAGATAAACCAACTAGACAGATATATAGTTGCCAGTTAGGAATATCTGCAAGAATGTGAAAACATTCATGCTACCCAAGAAGAGAAGTCATCTTCACTAATAAAGGATTACATAACAGTCAGCCAGGAATCTTTAGAAAACAAATATGTTTGTTAAAGATGTACCAAAAATGTAATGGAATAAGATCCACCTGAGACAGATGAAAAGAGTGGAATCCATTGTGAAATAGTCAACATGGGATAAAAAGAAGAAATTGACAATGAGACCTATTGATCTTGGCTAATACCCAAGAAAGAAGATGAACAAGGGGATAGACATACAGATAAAAACGTTCTAAGACTAGTTCAAAGTATCTATTGCTAGAAATGCTGGACCCAGAACTGGAAACCAGTAAAACATTAGAAGATGATGCACTGCTGTTGCAAAACAAGCATAGGATGACCAAATCATTGGCACAACCAATGAAATACTAGCTCGGAGAAAGACGTGGAGTAGAGAAATCACGGCAAACAAAGGCTTTGACATCAAGTCCAACCTTGCCTGTTGATATATGTCACAATAGTTGAATTGTCTGTGAGTAATAAAGCACAAAATTGGTGTAACAAGGTTAGGAACTTGTTGAATAGCTCAAAGCTCCAACAGAGTGTAAGAATGGGATATCTGAGAAGACTATAGACCCAAAAGGTTATGGTCCTCCAACAGATCATCCGATTTCTGGAGAGAAACATTGGTCGAAAGATCTAGGTCTGGAGGAGGTGGAAGAAAAGGGAAGCCTACAACGGGAAACTCATGAATGACAACCAAGATTGAGAAACAGTGATCAGCTAAAACTGATAAAACTAAACTTTTTTTTAAAGTTACAATGTCAAATCAGCACTACTTGTATTGAAAGTAATTTTGACTTTTCTCCTAGAGGGTTATATGTGCTATATTATGCTTATACAAAAAAATTTGGATATTCATAAAGCTGAAATCAACCCAAAAGTCAAAACTAGTGGTTTTTAAGTAGTTAAGTAAATCAAACTTTTTTTTTTGATTCAATTAATTTCAACTCCAAAGTAGTTAGTTTTTAAATATATGAATTAATAACTACGTGTTTGTTTTCTTTGATATTTTAAATCAAGGTGGAATGCTCACATCCAGGCACAATAAGAAAACCCAGCCAATATACACTCTGTATAATTATTATACAAGTAATTCACAGTATAAAAACATGATTAGTTGCTTCAATTTTCAATGAGCATCAAACTCCACCATTTTCAAGTGACCAAAGAAATAACTAAAATAGAAGGAAATGTTTACTCTTTTCCTAAAGTGATAGAGTAAATTCCTTAAAATAAATGAAAGGTTTTGGTTTTGTAGCTAATGTTCTTTTGACATCACTGTAAACCTTCAAGAGTAGCTGTATCTATACTTTAATTTATTTGATTTTTCTACTGATTAGTTAGAACGTGTTTTAGCTTGGGTATCAAGAGTAGCTGTATCTATATTTTAATTTATTTGATTTTTCTACTGATTAGTTAGAACTTGTTTTAGCTTGGGTATCAAGAGTAGCTGTATCTATATTTTAATATCATGTGGTAATTTATTTGATTTTTTTACTGATTAGTTAGAACTTGTTTTAGCTTGGGTATCAAGAGTAGCTGTATCTATATTTTAATTTATTTGATTTTTCTACTTATTAGTTAGAACTTGTTTTAGCTTGGGTATCAAGAGTAGCTGTATCTATACTTTAATTTATTTGATTTTTTT